AGGCTCGTGATGACCATCAACGAGTTGCAGACACCTCAGAAGAAGGAAGAAGAAGCATTCCAGCGGTGCAGCTGGACTATGCGTATGGCAGAGCAGGAGGAAACAATAAGGCTGACCTCACTACTGTTTTGGTGGGCGTGGACTCTGAAACATGTTGCTTGCCATTCCAGTCGAAGGTAAAGGTGCTGATCTTCGAGGCCAAGCTGAGCATGTGGTTCGGTTCACCTTGATGCTCAATCAATATGGTAATGTTGAGATCATTGGAGACAATGAGCCAACGATGAGGAACCTTTTGAGCTATGTGCAGAGCATTGGTCATGGCCTTGGATTGCAGACCACAATCACAAACTCTCAGAAGAAGGGTCAGACAAGTCAGGTTGAACGTGCAATCCAAACCCTTCGGAAGCAAGCTTCTTGTTTGATGCACATGGCAGAGGACAAATGCCTGATCTCTTTAGAAGGAAGTCACCCTCTGTGGTCTTGGGTCTATCTGCATGCAGCTTGGTTGATCAACAGATGACGGAAAGCGATGAATATCGCTTTGAGTTGCTCCCCGCTAGGTTTTGCTGGGGGGGGGTGAAAGTTCGAGATTTTGATTTGCAGCACACAGAGCTCTGCAAGCCACTCCCTTTGAGCTGGCAACCGGCCGCAGGTATGCTGGAAAAGTGGTATGCTTTGGAGAGTATGTCATGGTGCTGCAACGTCAAGCTGGTGTCAAGCAAGGTCCTCTGTGGCTACCTGGCATTTGGGTCGGCAAGACGAACGAAGAAGATCTGCATCTGGTGATTTCTGGAGGTCGGTTGATGAGAGGAAAAGCCATCAGAAGAACAAGTGAACCTTGGCGTTCAGTTTACCTCTTCATGGTCAAGGTGAAGCCTTGGAGGAACCCCCATCAACGAAGACCCATGAAGATCATGCCATCAACACCAATGGTGCCTCGACCAGTACGAGGACCTGGAAAGGCTAAAGAGAAAGATCAACTCGATGAGGCTGAAACAGAAGGTGAACAAGCTGGTGGCATTCAGTCAGGAGGTCGAGATCTTGACGCTGAGGAGGTGGAGCGCTATGCTATTGAGCACCCTGGTGAGACACCCAGAGAGGAAGAGAAGACGCAAGCAAGAGGTTCAAAGAACAGAGTAGCAGATGAGCCTGAGGACAAGCCTGCCGATAAGTACATCTGTGTCCCTCCATTGCCACTTGGACTTGACAACAATCCTCAGGAGATTGGTGCGCGAGCGCCTATGACTCCTGAACTTCCTCTTCCCAGTGCTGGCAGTGAGCAAGTGTTGGATGACAGTGCAGTGGAGGAGCGTCGTTCAAAGGCATCGAGGACAGATAGAACAGAGAGTCCAACTTCATTGTATGCACCGCACTATGCTGGAGGTGTGCAGGAGGTGAGAGACTTGGCAGTGGATGAGTTTCCTTGGGAGCAGGAGGTTGCTGACTTTGAAGCAGATGATGGATTGCCCTTCCTTGAGGAGTTGTTTTCAGATGAGGTGGTCGATGAAGGGACTCCACCAGAGGTGGGGCCAGAAGAACTTGCAAAGATAGAGGCAGCTGCTGGCCAAGAAGAAATCCATCGACTCCTTGACATGGGCGTGTTGGAAGAGCCAAGTTTGGAAGACCTGGCAGAAGGGAGCATTCTCACGACTCGCTCAGTTTTTGACTGGAGAGTGAGAAATGGAAGATGGAAGCGACGATGCAGGTTCGTGGCAAGAGAGTTTAAAGGCCACGATCACACTACAGCAGAGACCTTTGCTCCTACTTCAAGCCTAGCAGCAACGAGATTGCTGTTGGCTACGCACGTGATCCTGCAGTGGAACTTAAGCTTCATTGACGTCAAAGATGCATTTTTGCTGGTTCCACAAACGCGCCTGGTGTTGGTTGAGCAGCCATCATGGTGGAGACCTGAGGAGAACAAGAATGATGGTTCACGTCGATACTGGCGGCTTGCAAGGTGCCTACCAGGACAGAGAGATGCTGCCCTGAGGTGGTTTGATCACCTCAAAGATGCTCTTGAAGAACTTGGCATGGAGAACCATCTTTCCTTGCCGTCACTTTTTCGCCACAGGGAGAGAGCATTGGGCATTGTATGCCATGTTGATGACTTGATTGTTGCTGGTGCATCCATTGACCTCAGTTGGTTCCTTGAGAAAATGAGAGGCAAGTTTGTCATCAGCGAGTCAGGCATTCTTCCACAGGTTGGTCAAGCTGAAGATGATCCTGTGAGATGTCTCAAGAAGAGGCACTTCTTTACGGCAGAAGGCATCATCATGTTGCCTCATGAGAAGTATGTCCCGAGCCTGGTAGAGTTGTACAACCTGGCATCGAGAGCAGGAAAAGCCACTCCAGAAAGCACGCAACTTGACCTTGAAGGAGGAGCAGAAGATGTTCTGGCAGGTGGGGATCAATACAAGTTTCGATCAGCTTTGGGGACTCTACTCTACATCTCCCAGGATAGAGTAGATATCCAGCATTGTGTTCGCAACCTTAGCCAATTTATGGCCAGTCCCACGAAGAAAGCTGAAGTGGAGCTTCGACATTTGATCCTCTACCTCAAGCGGACAGAGAAATATGGCATCCTTCTCCCATACACCAAGTACAAAAGCAAGAAAGCAGAGGTGTTGAGAGGTCAAGATGATTGTGGAGAGCAAGATGCTTTGGAAGTCTGGACAGACAGTGACTGGGCAGGAGACCGAAGTTCAAAGCAGAAGAGACGCCACAGTGTGAGCAGTGCGATGATCTTCCTGAACGGTTGCTTGATTGCTGCCTGGTCACGATCTCAGAAGTCCATTGCCTTGTCATCATGCGAGGCAGAGTTCCTGGCCTCAGCTGGAGGAGCAGCAGAAGCTTTGCAACTCAAAGAGCTTTGGAAGTTTTTGAGCAAGAGAGAAGTGGCCATCACGGCCATCACAGATAGCTCTTCATGCAGGGCCTTTGCAGAGAGGCTGGGTGTAGGAAGATTGAAGCACATCGACACCCGCTACTTGTGGATGCAACTCGAGGTGAAGAAGAAAAGTTTGAAGATGGAAGGCATTCCCACATTGTGGAACATGGCGGACCTTGGAACCAAAAGACTCTCAAGACAGAGGCGAGAGTTTTTGATGCACCTCATTGGAGTGATGGAGATGCATGCTGAAGGTGCTGACCAAGTGTTCTGTCATGTTGGCGAAGATGCTTTCTACGAGGAACTTCGCAAGAAGGACTTGGCAAAGCAGATGAAGGAGGTAAAGAATGAGATGGTCAGATCCATAGTTGAGGAGAACAGCGTGACCTCAGTGAAGATCTCAAAGTCCATGGTCAAGATGGTCACATTGTTCTTGATGCAACCTCGAGCGTATGGACAGTATGCTGAAGAGAGCAATGACAGCTACCAGAGTGAAGACCTCAATGAGAAGAAGACTGGTGGTCCCCGACTAGGATTCTATATCCTCGTGTTCCTGGCGTACACGATCATGGTGTTCGGCTTTGGCGTCTACGTTGGGTATGTGAAGTGGAAGAAAGTGTTCTGGGTTCATCGAAAGGTGAAATCTCTGGTCTTCGAAGATTGGTTCACCGATTTTCATCGAGAAGATGATCAACAGCCTACGCGATCTGGCTTGGATCTCAGAGAATGGGCTGTTAGACACTCAGTGGAGACCACCGGTGGTGAATGGGTGCGTGCAGCTACACCACCATTGCCTCAGCCCTTGAGGAGAAGGCGTGGAGCTTCAAGGGTTGGACGCCAGCGAGAAGGAGTAGATGGAAGCTTCGATGAGGAAGAAAAGAATTCCTTTGACAGCCAAGGAGCTTCAAGGAGGAGACCACGGTCTGAACAGGCGGAGTCAGAGCAAGAAGTGGCCAGAGATGAAGTGACAGTGGAGAGCTACCTCACAGATTGGGACCCAGAGCTTAGCAGGATGAGGCCCTACAGAATCCTGCAGAATGAAGAAGATGCAGAAAGTGGTGAAGAGTTCTTCATGCTGAGCCCAGACCATGGGTACAGACGACACTACCGGCCAACATACTCCGAGAGAGATGAAGAGGCTGGCGCTGAAAGTATGGATGTTGATGAAGATGCTGCTCGTGAAGCTCGAGCAACACTAGTAAGAGAAGAAGGTACAACCTTGCCCGACGACGACTACCTTTGGGAAGACTACGACCGAAATGAGCCACCTGAGGCCTTGGATTGGACGAAGCTTGAAAACTGCATCCGGTACATGAGTGAAGATGAAGAGAGACGGACCCGAAGACTTTTAAGCAGTGGTTTGTTTTCGAGGTCACAAATGACCGAGTATGTGCAGGCTCGTTTGACAGCAAAGTTTGGTGAATGGTATCCATTCATCAGATTTGACCATGCCCTTAGCTGGAATGCTGAGTACAGAAGTGGTTTCGCAGCCTTTTGCGTCGCCGTGATGAGCTCTCAGTGGGAATCGAACTGGGAGCACCACTTGGAGCAGTTTGCCCGAACAGGACAAGTTTGAAAAAGGCCTTCACTAAGGTTTGGCCTTTTGGTGGGGTGTCAGAACTTGACATGTAGAGCACCTCACTAGAGTTCACGACTGGCCGACAGTGGCCCAAATCCTCTCCGCAGAAAAGGAGAGCGGTCGGCGCGTTTGCTACCTTTGACAGATTCACTCTTCTTGCCAGGCAGCTAAGGTGGCAGGCTTGACACCCAAGGAATCTGGGTTCAAGTCGCCTACGGTTTTCCTTTTGCAACTTGTCTATGTCATCTGCCACTCCGCAACCCCGCAACAGGAAGAATCCTAGATTCAACCTCATATACATCTTCGCCTGACTTAGTAGCAATTCGACCCAGATTTCATCCGAAAAACCTGCGGAGAAAGGAATTGTTGAAGTCAATTTTGCCAAGCAAAAATGTGGTTGGTTCCTGTTGTACGACACTGTTGTTGGTTGACGTGTAGTTCACGTCTATTTGGAAGACCTACAAAGTGAGTTGATCATTCCAAGCACACAAATCCTCTCTCTCCGTATCTCGATCTTCGCTGGGTGCCCCGAGCTCACAGACGCTCATGGCGATGTTGTAGGTTATGACCTCAGTGACAACGTGGCTCGGCGGAAACAGTGACACATGGCTCGGCAAAAACGATGGACCTGGAACAAGGTTTGGGGGTTGTTGGTTGGGTGTGTGTGCGACAATCAGTAACCAGCCAGCTGTGAGCAAAAGGTTTTGCCAAGTTGGTTTGAGTCTGGTCCAAATTCAAAAAACAGTACTCTCCTCTCTACACAAATATCCGCCGACCCCTGCCTTGCTAAGGCAGGCTAAGGCAGGGGCGGCGCCTGAGACCACCTGTTTTTGTCGGCTTGCCCCCCAACCCTCTGCGGCAGCCGTTTGCCAGGCTGCAAACGCCTCAAGCCCTGCACAGCCCACAGCCATCTGTCTTTACGGGCGTTCGTTTGAGCCTTCGAACCCTTGAAAGGCTCCGAATCAGCTTCAACCAGGGACTCAGGCCACAGCCATCTGTTTTTAAGGGCGTTGAAGCCTGCTGGCAGGCTTCAAACCCAGCATTGCGAACATAAACTTTCCGGCCGACACCGTTTCTGGCAAATCGTCTTCAGGGCAACACACTACAGTAACTTTACCGACGCAGCTGCGAAGTCGACCTGGCAAGCCCAAGCTTCTAACTCTGCAGTCATCTCTTGTGGCGCGAATTCTGTTTCTTTCTCGAAAGTTTCTCCACCGCTGCCAGCGACTGGCCAAAGATCGTTTCGTTTCTGGCGTCAACGGGCTGCACCCAGCCCACTTCTTGATAGCGCTGCTTCTGACATACGGATATTTGCGAGCACACACGAAGCACAGCAAACATGTAATATTGTTGGTCTCTAAACTTTTCTGATAAGATCGCAAAGCCCGCCGGTCACTAAATATGTTTGCCACGGGAGCTGCAGATTGGCATTGCCACGTGATTGCTGCTGCGTACATTCCGAGCATGTCCTGTTCTTTTATGGCTTTACCGCAGACTTCCGTAAATATGTCCATGTGGCTCCAGGCCTGGGGATGTGGTCCGTCAACTCCTTTTCACTCTCCGAGGCAAAGCTACATCTGCGGAAGCTGCAGTGCCACGACGGAGGGTCATATGCTTCTTGGGCGCTACACAGATTTTGGTACTGCAACGGCAACGTCGGCTTCTGGTTCAGTTTCCTGCTCAACGCCATGATCTGCCATTCTGCCGCCAGGAGTGGGTCGTTCAGCCCACCCGCGGCACACAGCAAGATAAACATATCTTCTCCTTCTACATCTTCGCTGCCTCTGGCATCCAATCGCCATGCGTCGCCACGGAGCCGATGGCCCCAGCAGCGGCCGTCTTTTTGCGCAAGCGCTTCACCGGAGCACATGACTGCCTGTCTGTGCTCCACTGGGCTGCTCGCTCTTTTCCGCAAGTCTGGCGCCGCTTCTCCCACCCCCTCTATCACAGCAGCTTCATCCCCACTCGTTTGGGACATCCTCCTCGTTACGCAACTTTGCCGCGCAAGTTTCCGCTGTTCCCTTCCCAAGTTTCTGCGGCGGCCCTTGCCTGCAACTATTGCAGTAGCCAAACCACTGGTCCACTAAGCGCATTGACGCACGCCAGCCAGCATACGCAAGGCCGCTGAAAAAGGAGGTGGCCTGGGGCCTGGCAGGGACAGTTTTGAAGCCTTTTTTCGGCTTGCGCCCAGGCGCAAAACACTGTAAATTACAGTGCTTTCACAAGTTTCGATCTAGAATAAAACATGTCACAGCGTTGCAAAAAACTGCGTAAATATCGACGTTTTTGGGGGGGGATGGTGCGCGAAACGCTGCAAATATCGCGTGTTTCGAGAAAACCTCGTAATTACCGTGGTTTTGAGCGCTCGATAGCTCAAAACCATCGGTATTTACGTGGTTTCCTGGCGTAAAACCAAAAGACTATGCAAATAGCGTGGTTGTGGTGCACTTTTGAAGCCTTGAGCAGCAAAAAGCATTGGTATTTACAGCGCGTTCTATCTTTTTTGTCATTAAAAATTGCATCTCCACCACCAGCCTGAGGGAGTTTGCTTGGTCTCTTTTTGCGCGCGCGCGCTCAAACGTGTTTGATATGAGGTCTCGGGGGCGCGCGCGATGCCTTCGAAAGGAACAACAACTTAATACCACAGCAAGAAGTAGAAAGGCAACAAAAAAATCAAAAACTGAACACGATAGCGAACACGCGCCTACAATTCTATCCGGCGACGTCGTGCCGTTGTCCCATATCAAGCCTAGCTTGCTATACGGAGACGCGCTCTTGACACCGACCCGCACTTCTAGCATCACCCGGGCTCATGTGGCTTCGTCAAAGACACAATAAAAATGTTCAAAAATGGTCACTATACTGCCCTGCACTTAACAAAGTCAAAAATTCACTTCCCTGATTTCTAACAGTTTTCAATCTCCCTATGAGTCGTGGCTGGAACCCCCAAACATAGGGCACCCCGTGAAGTCACAGCTTTCTGTCTTTAGGACCCGTTGTGATTCTGTAGGGCATGGAACAATCATGCGCTCTTTAGTACCATCCGCACAAAAATGCAGCAGCAGTGCTGCCATTGAATCTCTGTCTACACATCCAAGCAAGGATATGATTCTCTAGAACATTTGGAAAATCAAGTCTCTGTCTCTGACCCTTGTTTGGACTCCCCGGGGGATGACATGTTTTCTTCTTGCTGGTCACCCTGATTAGGAAGTAGGAAATATGCATTTTCAACACGCAACTGCACTTAAGGAAATCAGAGCAGTAAGGGGTGGGCACCCCCCTGTTACGGAGGTCGGTAGCACCACCGACCTCAGTAAGCCCATGGCTCTGAATCTGGTTTTTGCATTGATTTAAGCATCCCTGAATTATTTTCACCTGCATTTAAGAAAATCACATGGAGGCTTACTGCAGTGGGTAGCGCTACCAACTGCACCAAGGGGAGGGCATACCAAGCCCTGTCACTACTGAGGTGATTTCCTTAATTACACCACCGTAGACCCCAAACAGTTTGTGTTTTTCAAAATCGAAACTAGAGCTTGCGACGTCCAGAGCTGGGAGACAAGTGTAAAGGATTGCAAGGCAGAGAGGGACACAGCAATACAGAGCGGGCGGACACATCTCAAGAAAGAATTGAGAAGCCCTGACAGTAAACCTTTTGGGGAATTATTCTTCAAGTGCGAACATGATGCTGGTCATGCTGCTCAGTCAGCGGGGAGCTGACCACGTGAGGACAAGAAATAAATGAGGAGCGAAGGATGTGACATTAAATTGATTTTTGGTGCCTGACATATGCCCTCCGCCCCAATTGAACAGAGAGATCGCTGCCACGCCGCCCAGAAAACAGCAGCGCAGGCACCAAACCTGAAAGACAAAAAGAAAGAAATCACATGGGAGACAAATGAATAGAAATGCTACATGACCATCGGAAAAGGGCGGCAGCGCCAGTGACAGACCCGGGAAACAAATGAATAGAAATGCTGCGTGCCCAGCGGAAAAGGGCGGACACCAGCAGTGACAGACCTGGGAGACTAATGAATAGAAATGCTACATGGCCAACGGAAAAGGGCGGACAGCAGCAGTAACGGACCTGGGAAACAAATGAATAGAAATGCTTCATGGCCAACGGACAAGGGCGGACACCACCAGTCACAGACCTGAAAGACAAATGAAGAGAAATGAAATGCTACACGGCACCAGCAGTGACGGACCTGGGAGACAAATGAATAGAAATGCTTCATGGCCAGCGGCAAAGGGCGGACACCACCAGTGACAGGCCTGGGAGACACATGAATAGAAATGCTGCATGCCCAACGGACAAGGGCGGACACCAGCAGTGACAGACCTGGGAGATGAATAGAAATGCTGCATGGCCAGCGGAAAAGGGCGGACACTGGCAGCGACAGACCTGGGAGGCAAATGAATAGAAATGCTACATAGCCAACGGAAAAGGGCGGACACCAGCAGTGACAGACCTGGGAGACAAATGAATAGAAACAGCGGAAATGGGCGGACACCACCTGTGACAGACCTGGGAGACGAATGAATAGAAATGCTGCATGGCCAACGGAAAAGGGCGGACAACGCCAGTGACAGACCTGGGAGACAAATGAACAGCGTCCAAGGGCGGACACCACCAGTGACAGACCTGGGAGAAGAACAGAAATGCTACATGACCAACGGAAAAGGGCGGACACCAGCAGTGCAGGCTGGGAGACAAACGAATAGAAATGCTACATGGCCAGCAGAAAGGGGCGGACACCAGCAGTGACAGACCTGGGAGACAAATGAATAGAAATGCTACATGGCCAGCGGAAAGGGGCGGACACCAGCAGTGACAGATGTGGCAGACAAATGAATAGAAATGCTACATGGCCAGCAGAAAAGGGCGGACACCACCAGTGACAGGCCTGGGAGACAAATGAACAGAAATGCGACATTAGCAGTGACAGACCTGGGAAACAAATGAATAGAAATGTTGCATCCCCAGCGGAAAAGGGTGGACACCGCAAGTGACAGACCTGGGGGACAAATGAATAGAAATGTTGCATCGCCAGCAGTGACAGACCTGGGAGACAAATGAAAAGAAATGCTACACGACCAGCGGAAAAGGGCGGACACCACCAGTGACAGACCTGGGAGACACATGAATAGAAATGCTGCATGGCCAGCGGAAAAGGGCGGACACCAGCAGTGACACACCTGGGAGACGGATGAATAGAAATGTTACATGGCCAGTGGAAATGGGCGGACACCAGCAGTGACACAAATTGCGGACACGCCACAAGAAAGAAGGGAGAAACCCCAACAGTAAACTGTTTGGGGAAAAAGTGGGAGACAAATGCAAGGAAGTGGGAGACAAGCCGCCCGGAAACCCGACTACAAGCACCCAGCCTGGGAGACAAATGAAAAGAAGCGGGAGACACATTCAAGGAAGTGGGAGACAAGCCGGCCAAGAACCTGACCACAAGCACCGAGAATGAAAGGAAGTGGGAGACAAGCCAGCCGGGAACCCGGCCACAAGCACCCAGCCTGAGAGACAAATGAAAAGAACTGGGAGACAAATAAAAGG